TTCTGTAAGTTGCCCAAGGTCATACAAGTACAAGTGGTAGCACTGGAATTCAGACATTATGGAGGCATTATGGAGGAGAGGTGAAAGGGTGGGCCCTAGAGTTCTGAAAAGGTTTCAAGCTGGGAGACAAAATGCCTGGTCAACGTTTGGAAAGGCCCCCTCTGCCTGCGATGTGGAGAATGGGCTGTAGTAGGGCTAGAATGGAGACAGAGATTGAGGCTGTGGCTTTAGTCCAAGCAAGAAGTGACAGTGGTTGGGCCAAGGTGATGGCAAAGACATGGAACTTTATGGACAGGATCTGTTTCTTGAGCTGTGAAGGAAGGCGGGGGTTGGTAACTCTGGGGTTTCTGCTGGGCTTTTTTATGTCTGACTTCTTTGGAACAAAGTTCCACTGCTAAAAATGATTCAGAAATCACCTTGGTGAAGTCCTGGGTCCCTCTCAGGCTGACTTTTTTTTTTTTACATTTTTTATTGATTCATAATCATTTTACAGTGTTGTGTCAAATTCCAGTGTTCGGCACAATTTTTCAGTCATTCATGGACATATACACACTCATTGTCACATTTTGTTCTCTGTGATTTATCATAACATTTTGTATATATTTCCCTGTGCTATACAGTGTAATCTTGTTTATCTATTCTACAATTTTGAAATCCCAGTCTATCCCTTCCCACCCTCTACCCCCCCCCAACAGGCTGACTTTTAACAAAAGTGCCTTAGAGGTCAGCCCCCCACCCCTCGCCCCAAATCTTGACCTCAGGATTCCAGCTCACGCTCACTTTCCTCCTCTTGCTCTCAGATTGATGAGATGCCCGAGGCTGCCGTGAAATCAACAGCAAACAAATACCAAGTCTTTTTTTTCGGGACCCACGAGACGTGAGTGAGGGGGCAGAGGCAGGGTGGGCCACGGGTGGACCACTTTGGGGGAAAGAGTGGTGGTGATGGTGACCCCTCCCTGTCGGGCTACGCAGCTCAGAGGCAGGGAGGGGCTCGAGAGGACAGTCTCCCATCTCTCATCAGGGCATTCCTGGGCCCCAAAGACCTCTTCCCTTACGAGGAGTCCAAGGAGAAGTTTGGCAAGCCCAACAAGAGGAAAGGGTTCAGCGAAGGGCTGTGGGAGATCGAGAACAACCCTACTGTCAAGGCTTCTGGCTACCAGGTGAGCTGCCATCTGCCCCGAAGACCCCCTGGAAAGCAGGTGTGGCCATAGGCGCCGGGAGCCCCGGGCCCACACTCAATGCTTAGCCTTTAGGACGGGGGGGCTGGCTCAGAACCAAACACCAGGGCTTTCAGAGTAGGAGCTCGTTGGGTGGGGGGCGGGGGAGGCCTCCTGCAAGAGGGGAGGAGTGTAGTGTGGGTGTGTGGTGTAGCCGTGGTGAGGGGCAACTCACTAGACAGCGCCTGGGGGGGCGAGAACAGGATGGAGGCGGTAAGTGAGGACTGGCCTTTGGTGGGCCCAGCGTGAGTGTAGGACGTGGCCTTAACTCTTTCCACAAAGGCTTCCAGGAGGAGGTGCTCGTGAGCCGGGCAGGATGAGGCGGGAGGGTGGGGGGCGGGGGTTGGCGGGGAAAGGGTCCCAGCTCCCTTTGGGAGAAGTTGACCCGAGGTTTTGCCTCCTGCTCCAGCCCTCCCCCCTCCTGCACAGAGCCCTGCCTGCCCGGCCAGTGGGTTTACCCCGGGGCTAATCCGACAGAGGTGGGTCTCAAATCACTCGTGAGACTGGGCACCTGGGTGGGGGCGGGGGAGAGGTGGGAGAAGGAAGGAGTGAGTGGCCGAGGGAGGGGCCTTGGGAGGGGGCCCAGCATGGCAGCCGCTGGTGCCACTCAGCCTCTGCTGTCTCTGCCGCAGTCCTCCCAGAAAAAGAGCTGTGTGGAAGAGCCTGAGCCAGAGCCCGAAGCCACCGAGGGTGATGGCGACAAGAAGGGGAATGCTGAGGGTAGCAGTGATGAGGAAGGGAAGCTGGTCATCGATGAGCCGACCAAGGAGAAGAACGAGAAGGGGGCACTGAAGAGGAGAGCGGGGGACCTGCTGGAGGTAACTGTCCCCTACCTGGGGCCCAGGACCAAGGCTCCCAGTTTGAGGAGAGAGATCACTACTTCTTCAGGGAGTGCCCAGTTTGAGAGACTCAGCCCCTAGTCATGGGGTGTCCCTTGCTAAGAAGATGGGACACGGGAGACATCTCAGCCACCAGAGGGCTGGAGAGGGGTTGTGGGTCTGCCCAGGAAGGAGCCTTGGGGAAAGGAGGGGGAGGCCCGGGTGGGTGGCTGGTGTCCTCCCTCTCCAGTCTCAGCCCACCTCGTCTCTGCCAATCCTGCCTAGGACTCCCCCAAACGTCCCAAGGAGGCAGAAGACCCGGAAGGGGAGGAGAAGGAGGTGGCCACCTTGGAGGGTGAGAGGCCCCTTCCTGTGGAGGCAGAGAACAGCACCCCCTCTGAGCCTGGCTCTGGCCGGGGGCCTCCTCAGGAGGAGGAAGAGGAGGAAGAAGAGGAAGAGGCTGCCAAGGAAGATGCTGAGGCCCCGGGCATCAGAGATCACGAGAGGTGAGTGTGCCCCCTGCCCTGTGGCAGTCGGGCTGGGAGGGCCCAGCCACCTGCTGAGAGGAGGAGGAGGAGGGCCTGTAGCAGTCAGCCTCTCGGGAGGCAGGGTGGGCTCTCCCAGGAGACCTGCACTGGCTGGGGCCTGGCCAGGCCAAGGCCACACCATTAACCCTTCTCCCCTCCAACCCTCCCCCGCAGCCTGTAGCCACCAATGTTTCAAGAGGAGCCCCCGCCCCGTTCCTGCTGCTGTCTGGGTGCTACTGGGGAAACTGGCCATGGCCTGCAAACTGGGAACCCCTTCCCCACCCCAACTCACTCTCCTCTTCCATTCACTCTGCCCCTTCTGAGCTCAGCCCTTGGAGATTGACCTGGATGAGGCAGGCTATTTGGCCCTCACCTCCATGTCCCCACACCCCTGTGACCTGAGTCAGGTCCATGTCTTCTGCTCTGTGGGATGAGATGAGGCCATTGTGTCCCTCCCTGCCTGGAGCTGTTTCCCAGGGTATTTGTTTGGGCCTGGCCCGGCTATTTCCATACCTGACACCCCTCCCCTGCTCTCCCAGGCATTCTAGACCTCTGGGTTGGTTGGGATCAGGGCTAGGAGTGAACAGGATGAAGAATTAGCAGCAGGGTGGGCTTCTGGGGTCTGGGAGGGGCAATCTTCAAATTGGGGGTGGGGGTGGGCAGGAGGATGGCATCTTCTTGAGTTCCTGTCCCTTCCTCCCACACCTATTATCCCAGCTGCCTAGATTCAGGGAAAGTGGGACAGCTTGTAGGGGAGGAGCTCCCTTCCATAAATCCTTGATGATTGGCAATGCCCATTCTTTTGCCAACCCCAGGTGTTAGGGGAGTTACCTTTTATCACCAGAATATTTGGGGCTTCCAAGTTCTTTGGGCCAAGGACCTGAGATGTGAAGAGTTGATTTCACCCAGCTTAGGTAGGAATGTTGAGGAGTATCCATCCGCCTCTAGGTCTTGAGCCAGGGATGGGATGCCCTGGGGAGACCCTTAGCTGCCCTTTTCCCTCTCCCCACAATGCTCAAGGCCAGCCTATAGTCACATAACGTCACCCAGACATAAAGGAAAAGACACATTTTTTTGAGGAAATGTTTTTAATAAAAGAAAATTACAAAAAAAATTTTAAAGACCCCCACCATCCCTTTGTGTGCTCCCCCACTCTGCTCCTTTCTCCCCCACTGTTGCCCCCATTTCTGAGGTGCACTGGGAGGCTCCCCTTCTGTTTGGGGCTTGATGACTTTTCTTTTTGTAGTTGGGGCTTTGGTGTTCCTTCTGGTGTCATTTTGCATCCACATACCCCCACCTGGTCCCTCAGTGTTGTCACCAGATCAGATTTGTAACCCACTGAGAGGCCAGAGGGAAATAAGTGCCCTCTCCCAACCTATTTCTAGTGGTCTCCATGCCTCTCCTCCGTCTCTTGTCTCTCTCGCCCTTGTCCCTCCCCTTGGGCTCTGAAGAAAAATTGCTGACTGTAGCTTTGGAAGTTTAGCTCTGAGAACCGTAGATGATTTAAGTTCTAGGAAAATAAAACCCATTGATTACTACATTGGATCTTGACTGGTTCTTTGGGGGTATATTGGTAAACTGAAGAGGGGAGTGGGGAAAGGGAATGCAAATGATTTCCAAGTCCACTTCTCAGATTGAGGTAAGGGGTGCTAGTCTTCTCTTCCATTCTCAGGCTGTTAGAAATAACTAAAATTCTACATGAGGGCAAAGTCACAGAATAAACTGTACCATTCATTCTACTTCTGCCCACCCACTGTTTAACACAATTCCCCCGTAAGCACCTGGGAAGTTTTTTTCAAGTTTGATCAAGAACTAGGGTATGAGAGATTGCCAGCCAGTATCAGCCACAGCCCTAGATGGCCATGGAAGTGGGGCTGTTGGGGCTGGTTGTAGAAACAGCTTTGACCCTCAAGGGCAAAGCTAGGGATACCTGCCACGGGTAACTGGTGGGGAGGGGTGGGGAGGTTGATAACGTGGAATCCTCCCAGTACTCCTGAGTTAAGTGGAATGGATGGATTAGATCCTCTCTCAGATTCTTCCAGGCTGACATTTTGTGACTAGACCTTCGACTGGCATTGGAAGGGCCCATGTTTCATCTCTTTAGAAAGCCTGTGACATTCTTTTATCTGCCGTGGCCCCCTCCAGCAGAGAAGGGCAGGCAGGAAGAATACTGGCTATAACCTTGACCAGAAAGGAAGGCCCTCAGCTTTGAATAGGGAGCGGCGATCACCTAGAAAATGGAGCCACGGTCTCTAGTAACTACAATTCCCAGCGGCCTCCTCGCAGAGCATGTGCAGGAATGTGCCAGGCGCGGCAGCCTATCCGGCTTTGCCTTCAACTCCCGACGTGCTTCACGGTGCTCTTGCGCTTCCTTGATTTCCTACCCGACCAAATTTCCTGTCCCTCACTTGCTCCGTAGCAACGGACTACAACTCCCAGCATGCAAAGAGGCTAAATTCGTTGTTGAGCGTCCACTGTACGACTAGACTACATTTCCCAGCAAGCCGAGGGATAGGGAGAGGCGGGGCTCGGGGCTCAGGTCCCATGTGCCGAAGAAACAGGCGGAGGCAACCCGGGCTCAGCGGAAAGCGAAGGTGAGGGATGCGCGGCCCGGCGGTGTTGGCAGCTCTGGGCTCGTCCGGGAGGCGGGAGCGGGAAGGGCCTTCCTTTTCTCCTGGCATGGCACAGTTGCCTCGTCTGAGGTCTCCCTGCATCGGAAGCTCGGAGCGGGTGGGTGCTGAAGACTGCTGGGGGCTTGACATCGCCCACATCTAGGCTGGGGCTGGCCATGGAAGTCTTTGGAGCCGGGGCCTGAGGCAGCAGACGCTCTACCTCACTACCTTGAACGGCGCTCCCAGAGCACACTGTGAAAGGCTCACTGCGGAAGGGACACCAGCTTCTCCAGGATTTGGAGGGAAAAAAGGACGAGATCTAGGGGGCTGGCTTCTGGGATCTCCTCCCAGAGCTTCACATCTAGAATGACTGTGGTTAAGGGTTGTCTTGCAGCAGTCACGCAGGAGTCTCGGATCTTAAGATTGGCTCCGCTCCTATCAAGCTGTATGAACTAGGGCAACTCTCCAGCTCTCAGGGCCTCGGTTTCCTCGTCTCCTGTCAACCTCCTTCAGGGGGGCTGTATGAAGATCAAATGCCAGGAATAGTGAAGTTGCTAGCATTAGATCTGTCAAATGATAGTGCTCCCTAAAGCATTTTTAAATTCTGAATGGGACCACCTAGGCCCTTACATACATCCAACATTAGTTAAAAATAACACTAGATCTTTTCTTTTTCATGTTGAGAGGTATAAAGAAAAATGACCCAATATCTCACTGTTCAGATAAACCAGTTGATAATATATTTTTTAATGCGCATCATTAGAAAATGCAAACGTTATGGAAAGGAACAAGATGGAGAGTAAGAGCCCTCCCAAACTTCCTCTTACTCAAAACAAGTATGTTAGTTGTTTCCTGTTTCCTTCTCATGAATACTTATGCCTGTGACAATATGTATATATATTTAAATTTACTCAAAAGGATAATACTATCCCCGTCATTCTGCACTTTGGTTTGTTAAGTTGTTAAAATTAGGCCGCCTCTCTTGCTCCCTCCTCTTTGGAGGCTGCGTGCACTCTGTCTATGGAGTGTGTACTTACTTTTACTTTAACCTGAGCACTCAACCCCCGCACATCGTGGCCTTCCTCTTCCCTTTTGAAACAGCCTACGCTCTATACAGTATGTATCTCAAAATAAATCTACCTTTACTAAAAAAAAATAGTTAAAAATAACTTGAGTGACACAAACAACCCTGTAAAGTTGTACTGATGATGAAACTGAAAGTTGGAAGTCAAGTTGCCTAGGATCACAAAATAGGTTGATAGTGGAGCAGGGACCAGAACCCAGGTCATCTGACTCTCACTTCAGAGCTTTTTATGTTATTTAGTGCACTTTATTTGTACTTTAAAGTTATGCTTCGTTCTTAGCTATAAACCAAGGTTAATGGTATTTCCTTCTTCAGTTGTCCTTAGGCTTACATGAGATGATACAGGAAAGCACTTAGCATGGCACCTGGAAGGTAGCAGGTGCTCAATAAACTGAAGCATTTATTATTTTTTGCCCTCAGTTCTCTTACCACTCTATTGGTTTAGTCCATTATCTAAAATTGGGAGGCTTAGAGTACATACTTAGGGAAATCCAGGACCCTATAATCTTAGAATCTGCCTCTGGATCCTTTTCCTTTAAAAAAGAAACTATCTTAGGGAGGAGTGGTCTTATCCTGATTAAGATTAGAAATTGGAAGTGGTGAGGGGACATTTTAATTCCAGTTTCTATCTCTGCTATCTGTTTGTTTGTTTAACCTTATAACTAACTGCCTGCCTTTTGGCCTTATGCCAATGTTTTGTCTGTGACCTGTTATCTTCCCATCCTGCTGTTCATGGATTTATTTAATAACTATTTATTGAGGACCCACTTTGTGCCAAGCCCTATAGGATCTGCTGTTTAAGGGTGAGCTAGATAACATGATCCCTGGCCTTGTTGAACTTTTTGAACTTTAAAGTCAGATATATGTGGGTTTGAATGCAGATTCTCCCACATAGTAGCTTTATGACCACTGGCAGGTCACTTAACCTGAGTCTATTTCCTCATATAATAATATCGGGAGGGGGCAGGTATAGCTCCTTGGTAGAGTGCATGCTTAGCATGCACAACGTCAATCCCAGTACCTCCGGCTAAATAAACCTAATTCCACCCTGCCCCCGACCAAAAAAAAAAAAAAAAGCAATATCTTGTGAGGATTCAATAAGATGAGGTCCATTGAGCCATGGAGAAAGTACTTAAAGAAATGTTCCTTCCTTTATTTCTTTGCCCCCTTGTTTGTCCTACCCCAGAGCTGACTAAGAAGATTTCTGGGACTTTTGCTGGCCAGGGGGAATTCTCGCAGCCTCCAGCCATGCGGCTCTCTGCCCTGCTGGCCTTGGCATCCAAGGTCACTCTGCCTCCCAACTACCGCTATGGGATGAGCCGCCCAGGCTCCTTGTCAGACAAGAGGAAGAACCCTCCAGGGACCAGGCGGCGCCGGGTGGCTGTGGAACCCATCTCTGATGAAGACTGGCATCTGTTCTGTGGGGACAGGGTGAGAGTCTCAGATGGGGTAGGATGGTGAGGGGCTCCTGGGCAGGGATCTCCCTCCTTGACCCTCTTATCTCCTCACAGGTAGAGATCCTAGAAGGCAAGGACGCTGGGAAGCAAGGCAAAGTGGTTCAAGTCATCCGGCAGCGGAACTGGGTGGTCGTGGAGGGGCTGAATACAGTAAGTGAAGAGTGAGGATGGGGATGCTCCGGAAGCCTGTCCCATGTGTCTCTCTCCATTAAGAGCAGCACTGGGAGGCAGGAGACTGGCTGAGGGGATGGTGAGACAACTGAAGCTTATACTTTTCAACTTGGGCTGAATACTCTGAGCTGTGGTAGGCAAGCCCCCTTCACACTCCTTGGTTTCTGATAGCACCCCCCTCTTTTGGACAGCATTATCGGTATATTGGCAAGACTGCGGATTACCGGGGAACCATGATCCCCAGCGAAGCACCCTTGCTCCACAACCAGGTCAAACTTGTGGATCCGATGGACAGGCAAGAACATGAGGCTCTGCTGTTGATCATATTTATCCAAAGGGAATGGGGGTTGGATGCTCTGGAAAATGAGAGGGGCTATCTCATGGACATGGCCCCCTGTAGGAAACCCCAGTACAGGGGTAGCAGAAAAACAAGATGGTGACCACAGTGTTTTCAGTTATTGACTTTTGGGTTGGAGGGTGGCAGGGAGACCTGGCTCCCTGGCTGGGCTCACTTCTTGTATCCACTAGGAAACCCACTGAGGTGGAGTGGAGATTCACTGAGGCAGGAGAGCGGGTACGAGTCTCCAAAAGATCAGGAAGAATCATCCCTAAACCTGAATTTCCCAGAGCTGATGGCATCGTCCCTGAAACATGGATTGGTGAGGCTGAGTGAGGGGCAGGAAAATGAGGGAGGGGAGAGTGGGAGTAAGGGGTGTTAAGTACCGCCCCCAATCTTCTTTCCTCTGGCTCAATAGATGGTCCCAAAGACACATCAGTGGAAGATGCTCTAGAAAGAACCTATGTGCCCCGTCTAAAGACACTGGAGGAAGAGGTGATGGAGGCGATGGGGATTCAGGAGACTCGGAGACACAAGAAAGTCTACTGGTATTGAGTTTGGGGAAGAGTAGCTTCTCCTTGTCTTAGCCGTGAAGTTTCAAGCCACTTCTTTTTCAGACACTAATAAAGAGCCTAGAGTTCTCCCATGTGTGCAGCTGCTGTCTTCTGGTAAACTGGCACCCCTAACCCTCGTGCACCTGTTTCAGGGACTGAAGGAAGAAAGGGACATCTGTCCTGATGTTGGGACCAAACCTTAGGCAGTCTTAATGTGGCCCTGCAGATTCTGGGATGGAAATCTGAGAGACAGTGTCCCTCCATGGATACTTCTGAGTAACAAGATGCTGCCTGTTACCGAAGACAGAGGGGGTTGGGGGTGTGAGACCTAATTTAGCACCTCAGCAGCATCTCAGTAGGGAGGGTGCATGTCTGACCTTTCTATGCTTAATAGAAACATCAGGGAAATAAGGATTTCACTTTTTTAATAAATAAAAAATAAAATTTTTACATAATACTATATAACACACAGAGGGAGAGAAAGGATAAGAAGCTGAAGGTTTGTGAGGCACCAGGATTCCAGGGAGAGTGTAGGATGCTGGTTCTCTGGCTGAGGAAATGAAGACTGCCACCCAGCGTGGCACCTGGCAGTTCCAGATGAGGTCCGAGATACGCCCGCCCTTCCTCAGGCTGCATCAGCTGTCTTCAGTCTCCAGAACAGAGAAGGCCTCACCCAGAGGCCTTTTGGTAGCCACCAGAACTAGGTTTCTGGGAGAGAGTTCGGGGCTGAAGATGGGCAGGAGCTCAGCATGGAAGCCTGCGAGAAAGGCAGGGCTACTCAGAAGGGGAGAAATAAAGCAAACCCTTGGCCACTTGCTGCCTGGCCTGTAGGCATGGCCCCTTTTCCCCATAAGGGAGGCTCGAGGGGGTCTAAGGAGACCCAGTTCTCTACCATGGGTGCCCAAGGCACTGACTTGGGAGGAGACAGTCCTCAGCACGTGGTAGGTTCTCAATGCCTGGGATGCTGGCTTAACATGCACCTCAGGGATGTACTGCCACAGGCTAATTCAGTGGGAATCTACATTAACAAGTCCCTCACCCCAACCCCACCTGACCCTGAAGCAGGTGGTCTGAGAATCACCACAGTGATGAACCCAGTCCCGGCAGGTGCAGCGGCTGCGACCTGAAGGAGAGCCCTAGAACTCCAGCCCTTCTGGCCCTGCTTTGGCCACCCTCACCCTGCTCCTGAAGGTAGAGCAGCCGGTCCAGTAGAATCAGTGTCTCCACCAGTGGGGCCAGCAGCAGGGCCAGGCTGAAGAAGGCCACCACACGGTTCTCCTGGGCCTGGTGGGCCCGAAGGGCAGCCAGATTCAGCGGCAGCTGGGGATCCAGCCCCACCCGCTGTAGCCCCCGCTGCACGTATCTGTGGGGTCAGCCACAGACAGCACTCAGTCTGGTTTTAGGAACCTCCCATTCAAACTGCCCATTTCTAACTTGATTCCAATTTTGCTTGATTTGCTACCCTAAGGTGCATTTTGACATGTTTCTCTGGCTGAGCTGTCCACTGAGCAGCAGATCAATCCAAAAATTTATTTTCAGCCAAAGCTGTCCCATTATTTAGCCATATCTTTAGCATTTAAATATCTTAATAAAAGACTGACAACTCCCTTTTAAAGAAAATTTGAAGCTGCCTTAGAATCATCCCGTCTGTCTGCCTGCCCTGCCCCACCCCAGCACATTTAGATTTTCTTTAGGACAAGTGAGGGTGAGAGGGGAATCATACCTCTAGGAGGTGATGCCCGTCTCCCACCCACCCCCCAACCTTCCCAGCCTCACTCTTCAATCTTGAGCTCGTGGACCCTGGGGATCCCCTGCACGCCTGGCCGACGGAGCTCAGGCCGGGCGTGCCGAATGACCGTCTCCAGTGCTGCCCGGTAGCAGTGGGTTCGGAGGCCGGGGCCTGCTTTCTGTAGCCGCTCAGCATATTCCTCCAGGGCGTGGCAGGCCCCCTCCCGTAGTCTGTAGGGCAGTTCATAGCCGGGCAGCCCAGCTACCCATTGACTCAGTGGGTAGCCACCAGGGTCACTCAGCTTCATGTAGCAGCAGCCCACTGAGGCCAGGGCCGCCACCTCGGGGCAGCAGCAGAAGTGCCTCAGCAAGGCAACACTCAGATCCCCACAGGCGTGGAGGCCTGTCAGCAGCAAGCGGGCCCCGCTCTGAGGTGAGTTCTCCAGTGGAAGCAGAAGCTCCTCACACAGGGCCATGGGGTCTACCCACCTAACCACGTGGTGTGGGGAGTGGCGAGGGCCAGTTTGGACCACCTGTGGAGGCAGGACAAAACAAAGGCAGGTGGGAAGTCTGTTTGCTGTCCCCAAGCCACCTCAGGCCATAGGAAGGGATCTGTCCACTTGAGTTCCTTCTCGAGGAGGAAGGTGGGAGAGAAGCTGGGGCACAGGAGACAGTGGGACCTTCACTCAGGAGATAGGACAGATTCTGGTCTACCGTTATTAACTGCAAATCTTTTCATCTGAGTCCCAGTTTCCTCATTTGTAATGAGTCTAATACCTGACCGGCCACTTCACAGGTGGTTGTGAGGACATATGGGTGTGGAAAGCACTTTTTAACTAGAAAGTAACTTTAAAATATGAGGTGGCTTTAGCAAAGGAGGGACCTAGTGAAAGGGGTAGCAGAACTAGGGACCACACCATCTCAAGCTGAGAAAATTAAAAGAGGGATCTCAGCCTTGGTGCCCAGTTCCAGACAAGCAGACCCGGCTCTCACGGCCCTGGCTGCTGGAAGGGCTGCCCTACCTGTGGGTTCCTCTTCTCCTCTTTCTCCAGAGCCTGCAGGAGCTCCTGGTCCAGGCGCTGGGCTCTCTCCACCAGTCTCTGATCCCCTTCAATGCTCTTCACCATCAGTCCCAGCCCCAGGGACATGAAGCGGGAGAGATGGCCCTGGAGTCATGAGAGGGAGGGTGAAGACAAGCCTGCTCAGTGTCCTTTCCACGTCACCCTCCCTCTCTGTGGCTTAGACACCTGGCTCCCAGGTGTCTTAAATTCTGCCCAGCTTACTTCTACCGCTCCTTAACACCTGCTTCCTTGGGCCTGTGGCCTGATAATCTGCCTTCCAGCTGTTCTAGTCCCACTATAGTAACAAAAACCCAGAATGTCAGGGATTGGCTCACCTGGCCTGAGCCTACATCCACAACCTGGGTGCAGCCTGTGAGGTCACTCAGCTTCTTCACCAACTGAAAGGGGAGGGAGCAAAGGTCTCCTGGGCATTGGTTGTTGGCTCCCCGGGCAAACACCCATAATGAGGGTGAGGAGCTGAAGATGGCAGAGGAAGATGGGTAGAGGTTGCCATAGAAGAGACAAGAGACAGGGAAACCAAAGTGGGGTGTGCTGACCCCAGGCTCAGGCTACTCTCCTTGCTCCTCTCAGGCCAGTGATTCAATCTCCCCCACAGAACAAGAAGAGATCCACTGTGAAGCCATGAGCAGATTGTGAAGGTATCAGAACAAGAACAAGACAGTGATTCAAATATAGCCACCAACCTACCCGGCAAAAGGATGAAGATATGATTATTGTATACCTGACGAGGAAGGGACCTTCTAGGGCATCTGGTTCTGCAGGTGATATAAGGTAACCACATCTTTGTAACCCACAGGCCTAAGGAGTCCCCAAGCTCCCAGACACCACCTATACCCCAGCCATCTCCTCACCTCTCCCAGCCTCCGAATCTCATGCTGCTTCTTGGGCCTGACATGTTTCCGGAATGGAGCTGTCAGTCGGGAACTCTGGCTGGGGTTCTCCAGGAACTCTGAGGGGGTCTGAAACCCAGGCGTCCGGGTAAAGGCCAGGGCATAGGCTGTGGACTTCAGGGCCAGCAGGGTGAGTGGCCACACCGACCTGTACCTGAGATAGCCCGGCCCAGGCCCCCAGTGAATAGTCCCATTGCATCCTGAGTGTGCCAGTTGACAACCCAGGAAGCCCTTGTGAGACTGAGCCATGGCTCCCCACAGGGCTCAGCGCTGGAGAGCGCTAGCACCAGGCCCCTTTTGCCCATACCTGACCACTTCCCCTTCCCCAGGCATCCCCAGCAGCAGTGTGGCCAGCTGTGGCGGGTTCAGTCCATCCAGTGCTTCCTGCCATGAGCAAGGGAGTGTGCCCCACAGGTTGTCTGTGAAAAATTCCTGTAGGAGAAGGGGAGAAGCAGTCAACAGGCTACTACCCTTTCCAGTCTTCCTTGGCCCATTCTCAACACAGGGCCACTGGCTGCAACTAGCAGGCAGCTCTACTCACTGGAGTCACTTCTTTTAGCAGTTTAGCATTTACATGTCTGTTTTCTCCACTCAGCTGAACCTAAGGGCAGAGATAATGTCTTCACAGCTGCATCCTCAACACCCCAGTGACCAATAATCAGTATTAGTATGTTACCACCTAATAATCTACCATTACATGAGCCAGACACTTTCTATAACAGACATTATATATGCCAGAATGTATTTTTATTCCTTCATTTGTTCAACACAAATTCTGGAGCTTTGGTTAGGCACCAAGCTCTATTCTAGACTCAGGGGATACAATGAACCAGACAGACAAGATTTTTGCTCAAGCAGAGTTTACATTTAAAAAATTATTTCAGGTAACATCAAATGCCACATAGACAATAAAACACTAATGACACAGTAACATAATGGAAAATTTGAGAGAGTACTACTTTAGATGGAGTAATGAGGGACGACTTATCTGAGGAATTGACACTTGAGCTCAGACTTGAATGATGAACAGAAAACAGGGCATGTAAAAAAATTTCAGGCAGTGGTTGCCAGAGGCGGGGGTGAGGTGGGTAAAATGGGTGAAGGGAGTCAAAGGTACAAACTTCCAGTTATGAAATAAATGTCATGGGGATGTAATGTAAAGCATGGTGACAACAGTGAATAATACTGTACTGTATTTTTGAAAGTTGCTGAGAGTAGATCTTAAAAGTTCTCATCAGAAGGGAAAAATGTAACTATGCATGGTGATGGATATTAACCAGAGTTACCATGATAATTTCACAATATATACAAATATGAATCACTGTTACACACCTGAAACTAAAATAATAATTCCATCTTAAGAAAAAAAAAGGTAATAGCAAACACAAAATA